GCCATTCAGCCTAAATTTGATACATCCGCCATTGATTGGATGAGTTTTACCCTGTGGAGTGCTTACAAGGAGGGAATTCATGTGGTCAGTATTTGTTTTATGGTGTACTGGGGTCAGTATTAGAGTACACAGTGCCTTGAAAAAGTATTCATACCCCTTGTAATGTTCCACACTTTGTCATGTTACTACCAAAATCATAAATGTATTTTATTGGGATTTTATGTGATAGACCAACACAAAGTGGCGCATAATTGTGAAGTGGAAGGAAAAGAATAAATGGATTTCAAACTTTTACAAATAAATATCTGAAAAGTGTGGCATGCATTTGTATTCAGCCCCCTTTACTCTGATACCCCTAACTAAAATCTAGTGGAACCAACTGCCTTCAGAAGTCACCTAATTAGTAAATAGAGTCCCCCTGTGTGTAATTTAATGTCAGGATAAATACAGCTGTTCTGTGAAGTCCTCAGAGGCTTGTTAGAGAACATTATGGACAAATAGCATCATGAAGGCAAAGGAACACACCAGACAGGTCATGGATAAAGTTGTGGAGAAGTTTAAAACAGGGGTAGGTTATAAATATCCCAAGCTTTGAACATCTCACGGAGCACTGTTCAATCATCCAAAAATGGAAAGAGTATGGCACAACAGAAAACCTACCAAGACATGGCCGTCCACCTAAACTGACAGGCCGGACAAGGAGAGCATTCATCAGAGAAGCAGCCAAGAGGCCCATGATAACTCTAGAGGAGCCGCAGAGATCCACAACTCAGGTAGGAGAATCTGTCCTCAGGACAACTATTAGTCGTGCGCTCCACAAATCTGGCCTTTATGGAAGAGTGGCCAGAAGAAAGACATTGTTGAAAGAAAGCCATAAGAAGTCCCATTTGCAGTTTGCGAGAAGCCATGTGGGGGACACAGAAAACATGTGGAAGAAGGTGCTCTGGTCAGATGAGACCAAAATTAAACTTTTTGGCGTAAAAACAAAATGCTATGTGTGGCAGAAAATTAACACTGCGCATCACCCTGAACACACCATCCCCACCGTGAAACATGGTGGTGGCAGCATCATGTTGTGTGGATGCTTTTCTTCAGCAGGGACAGGGAAGCTGGTCAGAGTTGACGGGAAGATGGATGGAGCCAAATACAGGGCAATCTTAGAAGAAAATCTGTTGAGAGTCTGCAAAAGACTTCACTGAGGCGGAGGTTCACCTTCCAGCACGACAATGACCCTAAACATACAGCCAGAGCTACAATGGAATAGTTTAGATCAAAGCATATTCATGTGTTAGAATGGCCCAGTCACAGTCCAGACCGAAATCCAATTGAGAATCTGTGGCAAGACTTGAAAATTGCTGTTCACAGACGCTCTCCATCCACTCTGACAGAGCTTGAGCGCTTCTGCAAAGAAGAATGGGCACAAATGTCCCTCTCTAGATGTGCAAAGAGACATCCCAAAAAGACTTGCAGCTGGAATTGCAGTGAAACGGAGTCCTACAAAGTATTGACTCCGGGGGACCGAATACAAATGGCGGCTTTTATCATGGCTAACAGCCTTGTCTGGGGTCCACTGGCTCCTTGTGAAGTGGGCAGCGCTCACCTCGGCAGTGCCAGTGTTTACAGTCGGATGGCGGAGGTTGGGTGAGCTAAATTTAAAAATTCTTTGTATCCAAATGAATGCTGCATTGCTGGGTATTGTTGTGCTTTGCTCCCTGCAGCCACTGTGCATACCTTGAGCTCCTCGGAGTTAGTACTCTGCATATCAGGTGTACATAGTAATACTTTGTCTGTTCACACATGGCATTAACCCATTGGTGGGTTCTCATGTTTGCCTCACTATTGTGCCATTATGCCAACCCCCTCAAAGGACCAGCATTTCCAGAGAAGGAAGAGGAGTCGCCTGTGGAGGAGTCACCTGTGGAGGAGTCACCTGTGGAGGAGTCACCTGTGGAGGAGTCACCTGTGGATGACTACAGTAGCCAGCATCGCCTGTTGGAATATAGGACATCCCTTTAATATTTCTTTGTGCTCTTCAGTTTCTCAAAAAAAAAAAAAAAAAAAAAGAGAAGAAGGTCTTCATGACATCAACAATTCCCTTGGATGGTTTGTGTACATTGCAGAATATTAGGGCTCATTCACACTTGACTAAATTTCTAACTCCCCTATAGCGTTTGACAGGCATTAGACAGGTGTTTGGGAAGCATTTTTTGAGGCATTTGCCAAGCGTTAAATCCGCACCACAAATGCCTATAATGAAGTTTAATGGTATTAATGCTCCACAGCCACCCGCCTGGCAGGCAAGGGAAGCTTCAACTCCTCCTGACTGGACACGAGGTGTCAATTTTGCCAGGACATGACACTAACGCTTCAGTGTGAACAGCACTGTGTGCTGCCAAGTGTAGAATTTTCATTGAGTATTGAGGAGCATTAAAAACACTTCCCAAATGCCTGTCTAATGCCTGCTAACAAAGCTAGTGTAAACGGTTGGCCGAAATGAAAAAAAGCACAGGTGTTGAAAAAACGCAGCCGCCACCGGCCACCACTCGGTAGTTCTCAGCCTTAACCTCCCTGGCGGTATGATTATTTCAGATTTTTGGTGCTGAAAGCGGTACCATTATTTTGCATGGAAATATGTAGTTTTTTTATTGTAGGCTGTAATTTTTAGGAATAACTCACTGAAATCTGTCCGAACAAGAGTCTAGTAAACATCCCGGGTATGATAAAACTTGAAAACACGAAATCATAAATTATAATTTAATAAGTAATCATAAAAAATAATATATAATAATAATACATTTAATTCAATAATATAATCAAACCGAAAACACTGAAATGTGAAATATAGCGCCAAGTTCGCACATCGCTGAGCTCAGTCGCAGAATCGTTTTCAGTGTCTGATGAGGAATTTCCCCCACGAATCATTATCACTCAATTCTGCAAGTGGTTCTGATTTACTATCACTGTTCTCTAGCCGGTCTAAAATCACTTTTGACCTAAAGGGGCGCTTTTTTGGACGCCATGGACGTTTCTCAGTTTCCAGGCAGAAAGAACAGTCAAAATGCAGGCAGGGCGCCGGACAAAGCACTCGGGACAAAATGTATGTGAAATGGTTTGAAACAGCAATGTTTTACTATGTAAAATTTGTTGGAAAAAAAAAAAAGACTTTTTTTAAATTTTCAGATTTCTATCCGCCGGCGGCGCCCGTACCTCCCGACGTCACAGGGACTGGAACACAGAAGCCGGATGTCAACATTGGCCGGAGGAGATGGCCGGGGATGCTGCAGAGGACACATCGCGGGAGCGAAGGACAAGGTAAGTGCTGTAGGGAATCCCTATGCAGCGCCGCATGGTAAGCCCGAGTGTAGCTCAGGGTTACCGCTTTTGGCACTGACATTTTACCCCGAGCTACACTCAGGAATACCGCCAGGGAGGTTAATGGAGAAACCATCAATCCCAGCGCTGGGCATAGAGATGAGTGAAGGAAAGATGGCAGCCAGCAAGGCCGCTACGTGGGGGTCAATACATACGTTCATGGCTCATTACTGTATTGAAGTCTTAATGACAGCTGAGTTTGGCAGAGGCATCCCGGCTTCTGCTTTTTAGCCAGAAATGAGGAGTGTATAGCAGGGGCGGACTGACAACTCATGGGGCCCCCGGGCAATAGGGGATCATGGGGCCCCTGTGTCCTTGCCCAAACTCAAAAAAGCCTATGAAAAAGGTACCAGGGGCATCTCATGGGGCCCCCTACTGACCCCGGGGCCTCGGGCAGTGCCTGAGTTTCCAAATGGTCAGTCCGCCCCTGGTGTGTAGCAGGATGCCTCCCCTGTATGGCTAGTTAGTTCCCAGCTGTGCTGACATGGAGCTGTCAGGAAAACGGAAAATTGAATGACAGATACCGTCATTTTCCTTTCCTGACTGCTCCATGTCAGCACAATTCCCAGCCAGCTTGGTAGGACTAGTTACAGAACACTGAGGCTGCAGGTGGGCTCCAATTTATGAGTTAGGTCCTGGAAGCACGGGGGGGCGGGGGGGGCCTAACCCAGCTGTGCTGACATGGAGCCCGTCAGGAAAGGAAAATTACGGTAAGGCCGGCCATACATGGTTCGATTTTCAAACGATTTTTCGTTCAAAAATCAGACCTAAGAATAATCAGCCAATTTTCGCTCTGTTAGTGGGGTAATAGCGCCGGACCATTTTCGCGGTTCCTCTCCATCTCGTTTATTGGGCATGCAGGAAAATTCATGAAAAACGACCGATTTTTGAAAATCATTGGTGGCACCATCGGATTATAGAACAAACTAGGTTTTTGATTGAAAAATCATTCAGAATTCGACCCATGTATGGCCTACTTAAGTATCTATCATTCAATTTCCCGTTATTTCCTTCAACTTCACAATTATGTGCCGCTTTTTGTTGGTCTATCATATATATGAAGGGGAATCTCCCCCAAAGTTTTGCCTGTCATTCTACTTTAGCTTGTGACTGGGCATCTGGTAAATCCACAACTCAACCGCCTATTTTACTGTGTAAAAGGTCTGGGGTGTCATCAGAACAGGAAGAGAAGGACAATCTTACATTGGGGACACTCGTTCTGGGATTCTCTCGCTTTTCAGGGATTTCCTCTCACTTCCTGTTGTGGCTATGGGACAGGAAGTGAAGGGAAATCTCCGCCAAAGGGACACAGATGGCAAAACCTGACAGGTAATAAACCTTTATAACATTGTCCAAAATTAAAAAAAAAACGTTTTTGCCTTCAGTTCTGCTGTGAACCCAGAGAGACTTCCATGGCCAGTCTATGAGAAGGTGCCCAGCCCCAGGCACACTATGTAGCAGAACACAGCTGGAACACAATCACTGTCTCTATGGGAGGACTCCATTTCCCAGCATGCCTGGCCGCCTCTCCAGGCCTGTGGCAGTGTGCAGTGCATGCCGGGAGATGTAGTCCAGACCCCCTCTGTCGCCCACTCAGGTGTACGGCGGCCCGTGGGAGTCACACTTACTGACTTCAGGGCGTTCGCTTTGAGGCGGAGGCTCTCGGTCAGTCTGTCGTTCTCCTCCTCATAAACGCTGTAGCCGCTCATCTCCGGGCGACCCTCCCGGTGCTTCATCCCTCCTCGGTCCATGCTGACAGCTCACACATCCAACACACACTGACGACGTGTACTGTGCGGGCCGGCGGAGGAGGGGGCGGGACAGAGTACGGAGAGCGGGAGGAGACCAGACTCTGCACTCCGCGTTCTCCTCATGTCACTGACTGGGAGCTGTACTACGGGTGAGGGGCGGCCACAGCAGTCCACCAATCACACACTGTTCACACCGGGCTCATCAGCTGACATGTACATTTGTGTCCCACTGGGGGAAATTTCCCCTCATTTCCTGTCCCACAGTCACAACAGGAAGTGAGAGGAAATCCCGCCAAAGTGAGAGAAATTCTTGGTTGTGGTCAGAACTCGTTTCCCCTCCAGTATGCCCTCCAGCGGGCGGTCCACCCACGTATCTCCAGAGAAGAAACTTGTTTGTTGGAATGTGGCTGGGTTGCCACAGTAACAGAGACGCCCGCCGGAGGTCATACTGGTTTCTTTCATGTTTCTGGGGATCCTGCTATATCTGCTGGATTCCATCTGATTATAGCCACCCCTTGTGGCCATATTGCTGTCAGACCCTATTTGGTTGCTGGGACAATGGCACAGCAACTAATGGCTCTGTTGGCCCAGTTGCTGTCAGTTGGACAGCAGCGCATCATGTGTTGCTAAGATGCTGGCAGCTGGGCCACACAACAATGCTGGTTGCTAAGATGCTGGCAGCTGGGCCACACAACAATGCTGGTTGCTAAGATGCAGGCAGCTGGGCTGCCTAGCATTGTTGGTTGCTAGGATGCAGACAGCTGGGCCACACAACATCATTAGTTGCTTGGATGCAGGCAGCTGGGTTGTACAGCATCTTTGGTTACTAGATTGCAGGCAGCTGGGCCAAACAGCATCATTGGTTGTTAGAATCTAGGCAGCTTGGGTGCACAGCATTATTGGCTGCTAGAATGCAGGCAGCTGGATTGTACAGCATAACTGGGGTCTAGGATAAAGGCAGCTGGGTTGTACAGCATTGTTGGTTGCTAGGAAGCAGGCAGCCGGGCCACGCTGCATCCTTGGTTGCTAGAATGCAGGCATCTGAGCCACACAGCACCATTGGTTGCTAGGATGCAGGTAGAAGGACCAGACAGCATCATTGGTTGCTAAGATCAGGGCAGCTGGGGTGCACTACATCCTTGGTTGCTAGGATGCAGGCAGCTGTTTTGTACAGCATCATTGGTTGCTAGGATGCAGGCACCTGGGCCGACACAGCGTCGTTGGTTACTAGGATGCAGGCAGCTGGGTTGTACAGTATTGTTGGATGCTATTGGCTGCTAGAATGCATGTAGTTGGGTCACACAGCACCATTGGTTGCTAGGATGCAGGTAAAGGCAGTTGGGGTGCACAGCATCCTTGGTTGCTAGGATGCAGGCAGATGGATTGTACAGCATCATTGGTTGCTAGGATGCAGGCATCTGGACCGCAAATAATTGTTGGTTGCTAGGATGCCAACAGGTATACCAGACAGCATCATTGGTTGCTAGGCAGCTGGGGTGCACAGCATCACTGGTTGCTAGTATGCAAGCAGAAAAACAGCCCAAACAAGAACCTAATTTTGTTTATTTTGTTATAATCAATGGTAATGGTCTGACAATATATTTTTGGTATATTAAAGTATATTGGGTCTTTGATTCCACAAAGTAGGTTCTTGTTTGGACTGTTTCTTATGAATTATACACCACATTGTCCTCGGCATTGTTCATTTTCTGGAGGCTTTCTAGGCTTTGAGACAGTTCTGTTCATAACAAATTAGCATGCAGGCAGCTGGACAGCACAGCATTTTTGGTTCACAAGATAAAGGTGGTTGAGCTGTACAGCATCATTGGTTCCTAGGACGCAGGCTGCTGGGTTGCACTGAATCATTGTTGCTAAGATGAAAGTGGGTGGGCTGCACAGCATCATTGGTTGCTAGGATGCAGGCAGGTGGGGAGCACATCACCATTGGTTGCTAGGATGCAGGGAATTGGGCTGTACAGCATTGCTGGTTGCTAGGATGTAGGCAGGTGGACTGCACAGCACCACTGGTTGCTGGGATGCAGGTGGCTGGGCCCCACAACATCGTTGGTTGCTAAGATGAAGGTAGTTGGGACTCACGGCATCATTGGTTGCTAGGATGCCAGGTGGTAGACCGCACAGCATCCATGGCTGCTAAGGATGCGGGTGACTGGGATGCACAGCATTATTGGTTGCTAGGATGCAGGTGGCTAGGCCACACATCATTGTTGGTTGCTAGGATGCAAGCAGCTAGGTCACACAGCATTGCAGGTTGCTAGGATGCAGGCAGCTGGGTCACACAGCATTGTAGGTAGCTAGAATGCAGACAGCTGGGCTGCACAGCATTGCTGGGTGTTAACATACAGACAGTTGTGCCACACAGCATCATTGGTTGTTATGGTGCAGTCGGCACCAAGTCTTAGCAACAAGCTCAGTAATGCGACCCTGTGTATAGAGGGTGATGGTACTGAGCTGCAGTGGGGACAGAGTACTCATCAGTGCTGCCCCTCGTCTAGTACTGCCTCAGATGGTTTCCTCATTGGCAGTCCACCCGTCTACAGAGATTTATATCCATTCAATGGTGGATTCAGTGTCCTGCTTGTCTGTATTACTGACCTATCAGCAGCTGCGGGTCACCAGCTGAAGAATACATTACCCAATCCCAGCAAAGGAGATTCCTCCATCCACCATGTTTTATGGTGTCTCTTGACGATGGCGGGAATGGATTGATTCTCTTTCTCCTGACCACTGAGCCAGTTCTTTTTTTAGGATTTTCCCCCCCTTCCTGGCCATTTTTAGGGGTAGTGCACTGCGTTACTTTAACTGACAACTGCGCGGTCATGCAACGCTGCACCCAAATTAAATTTACGTCCTTTTTTTTCCCACAAATAGAGCTTTCTTTCGGTGGTATTTGATCGCCTGTGCATTTTTTTATTTTTTGCGCTATAAACAAAAAAAGACCGACAATTTTGAGAAAAAAACAATATTTTTGATGTTTTGCTATTAAACATGTCCAGTAAAAAAATATAAAGAATCAAATTTCGTCATAAATTTAGGCCAAAATATATTCTGCTTCATGTGTTTGCTAAAAAAAATCCCAATACGTATAAATTAATTGGTTTTCGGGAAAGGTATAGCGTTTACAAATGGCGGTATAGATACCGGGCTTTTTATATATATATATATCTCCTAGATTGTAAGCTGGAAAGAGCAGGGCCCTCAATCCCCTCATGTTTTGCATTGTATTGGTATTGTTCTGTCACATGTTCTGTCCCCCTTTGTAATGTACAGCGCTGAGCGAACTATTGGCGCTTTATAAATACTGTATAATAATAATAATATACAGTCAGGTCCATAAATATTGGGACATCAACACAATTCTAACATTTTTGGCTCTATACACCACCACAATGGATTTGAAATAAAACAAACAAGATGTGCTTTAACTGCAGACTGTCAGCTTTAATTTGAGGGTATTTACATCCAAATCAGGTGAACAGTGTAGGAATTGCAACAGTTTGAATATGTGCCTCACACTTGTTAAGGGACCAAAAGTAATGGGACAGGATAATAATCATAAATCAAACTTTCACTTTTTAATACTTGGTTACAAATCCTTTGCAGTCAATTACAGCCTAAAGTCTTGGTTTAACTGATATCCCCAGTGACACCAATACAGTGATCAGTGCTAATAAAAAGCACTGACACTGTACTAATGACACTGAGCAGGAAGGGGTTAACATGTGGGGTGATCAAAGGGTTAACTGTGTGCTGTGTTTCACTGTGTAAGCACGCTGCTTTGTGTGGCTCTGCATAGCAGAGCCATACAAAACAGTTTGCAGAAGCTGACAAGGGAGAGATCTGTTTTGTTTACATACCGACCTCTCCCCCATCAGTGACACTTGGCGATCGCAGGGTGCCGGTGGGGAATCACCGGCTTGGACCCGGTGATTGACAGCTGAAGCCGCCAATGGAGGTGCGGGCAGGGTGCTCACACGCCCTGTACCCGGAAATGCAAAATCACGTATATATACGTGATTTTGTGCAGCCATGCCGCCCTATAGCAGTATTTCTGCTATAGGGTGGTGGGAAAGTGGTTAAACAGGTAACACTATGGGGGATTAATCCCTTGCCATATGAACACCATAAAACCTCTCCTTCTATAGTCAGTATGTCTACCTCATATGTTAATTCATAAGCTAGGTAGAATAGATATACCTGAGAAAAAATTACAGAACAAAAATAAAAATCAACAACTGGTGCAAATTTAAAGTACAAATAATGAACATAATTATCGCAGATGTCCAAGAATTGTCTTTATTGCCAATGTGCGTTGGTCCAGCTTGGCACGATGTAATAATATCTGACATCCAGAGGGTTGCTGCAGAAGCTGACGATCCCTTTAGCAGTTAGTGCTACATACAGTGATAGTTGTCATCTTCCAGATTCTTTGTGATTGGCTTCCACTCTACACATAGAACACGGGGAGTCACTCGCTCAGCGTCTTTTAGAGATTAAATATGTCACGAGCACAAGCACAACAAGCATGTTTCAAAGTGCAAAGCTCTTTAACCTCCTTAGCGGTATTCCCGAGTGTAGCTCGGGGTAAAATTTCTATACCAAAAGCAGTAACCCCGAGCTACACTCGGGCTTACCATGCGGCGCTGCTCTGGGGGTCCCTGCAGCACTTACCTCGTCCTTCGCTCCCGCGATGTGTCCCCTGCAGCGTCCCCGGCCAGCTCCTCCGGCCGATGCCGGCATCCGGCTTCTGTGTTCCGGTCCCTGTGACGTCGGAACGTACGGCGGGAAATTTGAAATTTTAAAAAAATTTCATTTTTGCTGTCATTGCTGTTTCAATGCATTTCACATATATTTTGTCCCTACTGCTTTGTCCTGCGCCCTGCCTGCATTTTGAATGTTCTTTCTGCCTGGAAACTGAGAAAAGTCCATGGCGTCCAAAAAGCGTCGCTTTACGTCAAAAGCGGTTTTAGACCGGCTAGAGA